GGGCGTTCTTGCCCAATTGATGGTTAGTCACTTGCGTGAAGAACCAGGGAGGGTGTTCGTGAGTCTGCGAACATTGCTGTTGGATACATGTGCTGGATGATTTTGTGTCACGCAGACTGGTAAGATAACCGTTTGATAGGGGGCACCGCGATGATTCACGGGGCCCCTCCTTGCTGTGGGAGCCGCTCTTTGAGCACTCCCTCTTTCGTCCGTGTGAAGGATGGTCGTCTACCTCCCGTGAAGTTAATACATCACCAAAACAGTCTCACCCGATAAATAAGTGGCGTAGGCCGCAAACACATAACCAACCCTAATCCCGCCCCTCCCTTCTGCTCTTGCTGTGCTGGACTGCTGGCTCTGCTTTGTGATGCTTTGGCAGCAAGTTTCGCCGCCCACGAAAGTGGCCCACGGTTCTGGGGGCTTTGCAGACGACAGTCTTGACTCCCCCCAACCTGGACAAAAGTTCAAAAGTTTGGTTGGTTACTTGCTCCCTGTCTCCGTTAGACTCATCAATGGGCAAACACAAGACCTGCAACAGGAAGCATAAAACTGTGCTTGGATACGTGCGTGTGAGATGGAGAGATGGAAAGCGACAAAGTTTCGTTACCTGAGTGACCGATGGCACACCTGAGACGCTATATACGTACGCCGGGTGGGCCCGACATGCACATTCATCCAGCATCCAGCACCACCGCGATCACTGGAGGCCGCCGGTAAGCCTTTGTTCGGTTGTTCGGCTCTTTCTCAATCCCTTTCCTTGAATGCGCAACGTGCCCCTTTTCCTCTCTCCCGGAATCAATGGTTTTCACTGCGCTGTTCAAGGTCTGGTCGTTTGAGAATAACAAAAAAAAAGAGGACTAAAATCAAGGGAATTAATTATTCGCGTGTGTGCCATTGCGGCGCCCGCTCAAACGTTACAACCTGATGCTGCATTTTGATATTTTGATATCCCGTGTGCATACGATATAACCTCATGACGTACTTGCCATGATTGCTGTGCTTGATTGCGTGAGTGTACATCAGGGACATCAAGCCCACAATTCAGCATGATGCCACCACAACAGATCGTGCCGTGGAGGTTGTGATCGTGTCGTGAAGGTGTGCACTGCAAGTCTGAATGAAGCATGACATGACCGAGCCCGCGGAACTTCGAGGCAAAATAGTCGAGAATTAGGGATGAATCCCAGAAACCAACATGCTCTGCACGTGCTATGCTACTTGCCATGACTGCTGCTGTGCTTGAGTCGTCTGTGTACAGAGGAACGTCAAGCCCACATATCAGCATGGTTCCACAACAAAAGAGTGTTAAGGGCGCGGTGCGAATAGACCACTTGCAACAGAACCCCCCGCACCAAAAAAAAAGCTCTGGGCGGAGGGGGGGTGGTACAAACAAACAAAAATCCGCCCAGAGCTTTTTTTTTGCCAATACGAAATTTGAATCGCAAATTAAGGGGGAACCGCCAATCGATGTTACGGTTCGCAATCGGGGCAGTGTATAGGGAATAGAATGGTCCGGAAACCCCCCTGTTTTTAAAAAACATGACAAAACCTGGTTAGACCGCACTTGTTACGGCGGCCCGCAAGCAGGAGGGCAGCGACGTGCCCAGAACAACAACCGGTGAGACCCAGAGGAAATACGCATGAGATGAGATATATGAAGTGTCACATCGTACAATGCACGACCGAAAGACTTGTCGTCGCCGACCACAGAATCAGCAGCTTTGAAGCGGCGGAATTGCCGGATATACGATTCTCCAGCACACCGCCCCGGCGCGAATAAGGCGTGTAGTGGATGAACTCACGTACTCGCACGCTGAGGGTGTGCTCCATATGTGTGACGGTCGTGCAGTGCCCGCAGAAGTTTAGGAACGTGTCGGCGTCGGTGTTTCCTCACCCTCTGGAAATGAGGACATGATTTCCGCCAAATGGGGTGCTGAGGGGCGGTCAAGCCGATCGGAAAAGCTGTACACATGAGGCGCCGTGCAAAAGGCGACTGATATAGGTAGTCTGTGACCATGCAACGCCCTCCGAAGAGTTTTGGTGCGTTCGGTTGCCAAACCTTCAACATTTCGGTTTCGGTGTACTGGCTCCCAAAAGTGTGCGTTTTTCTGCACATATAGGCGTTTTTAGATAGTGCAAGTACTGTGCATTTTTTTTTGACGCTTCGAAAAGATGGCCCTGACCCATAGCTTTCGTATGAATGTCCCAAAACCAGAGTCTGATCATAAACGACGGAGAAACAGCGTTTTCCATTTAAGCGGAATTTACAGCAGTAAATATGCCTATTAATAGGGATTTAGACTGGAAATTTCCCGGCGTGATTACCGTCGGGACAGATAAGGCAGGACACCACCTGCGTGGGGTCCAGGACGGCTCATCGCCCGCGTTTCGACCTAGTGGTGGTACAGGAGCAATAAGCGATACCGAGGCGTGAAAAGCGGAGGTTTGGTGGTGCCAGCTTGATAATTTATCGCAATATATTTATAGCAATATGTATATGTATGGCGGGCTTGCTTTTCCAGGCCACACTGCTTGTGCTTACCCGCCGCGTCGCGCGCGTTCGCATTCTTTGTCCAGACCCACATGATGGACGCATCTACAACGGATAACCGACCGTTGACGGTAGTCGAAGTCCAGAGAGGGTTGAACCGTATAGAACCGGCCGGTTGTTGGCTAAGACACGGTGGCGTCGAGAAAATGGTTGGCTGGCGACTAGGTGCAATTCAGCAATTTCTAGGATCGGTAGAGCCCAAAGAGCTTGGAAGCACGAGGCGCCAAACGAATCTGTCGAGACCTCTTCAGCTTTTGGCGTCGGTGGGGATGCACTTCAAGGAAAACTATGTTGCCGTAACTGGGGGCGAAGGGGGCGTTTGCCCCCCATGGGGTGGCTCCAAGCACGCCGACATAGGGGAGCCTCGCGAGCGGGGAGAACCTCGACCCGACAACTTCCAGAAATCCACTAGGGATGACCGACCTGCCTCCCCCGAAAGCGAGAGAGGGGAGTTCAGCGCAGATGGAATGATAGAGGGCGAGCTCGGTGTCCCGCGTAAGTCATCTAGTGTTGTAGGAGTAGAGGGTGACGATTGGATGGAGACCGAGGAACAAAATGGTGTGTTATCCCGCGGTGGCTCGGAGGCAGAGGGTGAGCTGGCATCTGGTGTTGTTGGCGTACAGAATGATGAAGAGGGGGAGATCGAGGAACAGAGCGATGTGTTATCCTGCGATGGCTCGGATTTGTTGGATCCACTGGACGTTCGCGAGGTCGGGCAGGGTGGCGACGGAATGTCCGGGTCTCCACCCCGGAGGAGCGACGCAGTTCAGAGCGATGCTGAATGGAGGTACGATTCGTACCGCGTGATCTGGGACAGACAGTCGAACATGCAATTTGTTAGACTATTTGCGTCCGAAATAGAAATACAACCGGTGCGTTTCTGCATTCTACACGAAAAACGAGCGCGGTTCTCTGGCCGCCGGTGGAAAAACGCCATAATGATGGTAAAAATGTCAGCCAGGCGCGGATAGTCAACGGAACGTGTTGGATATAGTTCAAGGTTTCTGAATGGTTTTCCCGGGCTTGTCGCGCGAAGTTGCTCGGGCTATCTCGAAACATCAAGGCGTCTGGGACATATATTTCGCTAATTCACATGCCACATGTGCATTTCCGATCGAACGCGCGCATGAACCTCGTCGTGTTGCGCAGCGGGACAATCGCCAGGGATCGAGTGTTTCGGACGATGTGTTGGGTGAACACGCACAACTGTTGGATGGCCGTGGAGGATCTTGCGGAACTCATCGATGAAAACGTGGAGGACGTACGACGAATCCTGAGAGTTGGAACTGCTAAAATCAGGCGGCAGAAGAACCACAACTATAGCCTGTTCCTACGAGCGCACGGCATGATCGGGCGGGAATATCGTAACCGCACGCACTGGTGCTTGCTTGGGGTCGGCCCGGTACAGATGACGCTGAGGCAATCCTCCCATCTCAGCTACGTCATGAGCGCAGAGCCCAAGGGACCATATTTGTGAGCGCCGTCTTGGAATTCATTTCGAGTAGGAGTGCAGACATCCCCACAAGTGACAAATTAGGATAGGCCTTCTGTTCCTTTGTCAGGACGGTGATCCGGTACACGGCTAAGCGTGCTCCCCTCCCTGTCTCGTTCGTCTTCCGCATCTTCGCGCGCAAATACTCTCTTGTAGTTCCGGACTACAGAACCTCCAGTCGGGCGGCCCTTCGTCGCTGCCGAAGGGGTCGACCCGGTACGGTTTTTCCAGGAAACCGCCGAGTTTCTGGAGGATGTTCAAAAACAAATCAAGTGCCGCCGTTGCCAGGAGTCTGTGCGGATCGGGGACTGGGAATACGTACGGCTCGAGTCGTTAGCATCCCCGTTCCTCTTCCCGGGGGTAGCTCCGGAAGTGGGCCTAGCCTTTAGGGTTAGGGTTACGGTTAGGGTTACGGTTAAACACGCCCACCTCTGTGTGGTCCATCGATACGTGCAAGGAAGGATCGGTAGTCGTGTGAAAAAACATACGTGAGGGAGGGAGGATCACCCTTCAACCTCTTCAACGAAAAAAAATAAACGCGGTGGGCAGAAAAAACCGCACATATATGTGCTCAATCGATACGTACAAGGAGGGGTTGGTAGCCGTGTTCCAAAAATACAAACGGGTGGGCACATCCCTCCCACCTCGTTGTGGTCTATCTTTCGAAAGGGTCCCTTCCCCCTCCGAGATGTTTCGGATAAAATAAAGGTGCATTCAGATCTATCTTGAAGGCAGCGGCACAATTGATGATGGGACTCGAAAACAAAGGGTGCATTTCAGTCGTGCAAACCAGCAGCTAAAACATTATACTTGTATAGTTCTAAAGGACGCCCCCCCCCCCCCCCCCCCCACCCCCCCCCACACACCGTCGTTATGCTTCGCAACCCAAAAAATGACGATGCATTTCAACATTTGAAACAACACGGCGTCCGTCCGTTCAAAACGCCCCCAACAACCCTCTAAACGAAAAGAACTGCCGACTGAATTCTAGTCCCAACCACGAGCATCTGCTGCGTGGTGCACGGGCGGGTGAGTCGTCTCTACATAACCCCCTGCCCCACCAGTTTCTAACACGCTAAATAATGCCGCCACAAGCCACTCGCTATCACTAGCAACAGCAGCCAGGAGGTGACACTAATACATGCACATGGCGCGCACGATCTCGGTCGGTATGCCTTTGTTTCCCTTCCCCGAGAACACTTTCAAAGCAGCGACCATGCACTCGGCGGCAGTGCATTGATTCCCGGCTCCTTTGGCGAGCAGATCGGTGGAGGTATCGTAGTACACCTGGTTTCGCACCCTCTTCGCCAGGCAGTATCCGGGATCGCCGTCCAACTTGAGTTGCCTTTCGAGCACCGTCTTTGGGGCAACCAGGACATCGCAGAATAGAGGGTGGGGGGGGGGGCGCGTGAGGAGGTAAATTGTTGTGCGCGACAACGAAATATCTCGTATTATTGGTGCAAAATTTTGCAGGGCAGAGGCAGGAGATCTAAGATATGAGCACTCTCTTCAGGAACAAAATCAAAAGGGCCGCACACATAGTATGTACAGATGGAGACAAAAAAAGTACCACAGCAGTGCACACGCCCGAGGAGGTGAGAATGTACTCACAGGTTTGTACCTGGCCTTCCACAAGTTGTGCAGCATGATCGATAACTATTAAAAAAAAACTATGAACAGCAGCGTGCGCTCGATGCACTAAATTGTAGCCTTCCTATAACAGTATGTTTGCAAAATACCTTGCACCAGGTGCCTAGGCTGTCGTGTGCCCATGGATTGCAAAACAACACACGGATTCAGGGGGGGTGATATACTGCGTCATGGAGGCGGGTGCATGTTTTTTTTATGTAGCACGTTGTCCCTCAACTCGTTTTGGGGACAGGGCAATACTAATGGAACTCTCCGGGAAGCTACTGGAACTCAAAGCTCTCTGCCGTAGTTCACGCTTCGCTTTGCTGCCTAACGAAGACGTCGGGCTGCATGGCCACTTGGGCACAGCTACTGCTGTGCCCAACTACTGCTGTAAACGGCATCGGCTAGACTAGTCTACTCCTAGAGCTGCTGCAGCTGTGTGCATACCTGCAAGTCGACGTTCCCAATCAGATGCGCCTGATGCTTCCCGCATGTCACGGCGGAAGCTGGGTCGTCCTTCCAAGTCACGAGGGGCAGGGAGTGGGGGCAGCCAGCTCCGATCGCCAGGCTCCTCGCTCGCTCCTTGATGAAAGCCCGGACAGTCTCCGGGGATTCGATAGCATGCTTTCGAACGGCAGCAAGCTCCTCGTCATCGCCCACGCTGGGCGGGTCTCCCATCAAGCCCTCGATCTCTTCCCCCACCACCGGGTCGTCAAAGATTGGATCGGGTTCGCCCTCCGGCGCAGCACCGCGTGAGCGTGCGGTCATGGAGCCGGTGCCGCCGCGGCGGCGGCGGCGCCTCCGCTGCTGCAGCCTGCCNGAACGGCAGCAAGCTCCTCGTCATCGCCCACGCTGGGCGGGTCTCCCATCAAGCCCTCGATCTCTTCCCCCACCACCGGGTCGTCAAAGATTGGATCGGGTTCGCCCTCCGGCGCAGCACCGCGTGAGCGTGCGGTCATGGAGCCGGGTGCCGCCGCGGCGGCGGCGGCGCCTCCGCTGCTGCAGCCTGCCGCAGGATAGAGCGCCGCCGCCGCTGCTGCTGTATTTTTTTAGTTCGTTTGGCCTCCGTCCGCGGAAGTACGGGCCCGCTTCGCATCAGGATTAGTGCCACCCTCCATAGCTCGCACTGGTCTGTGGTGTGGGTGCTTTGTTTCGGTCGCTTGGGTTCTCTACAGCACGTCGTTGGAGCTAGCTAAATGTGTCTGAAGCTATCTCTTCATTTCCACGTGTTTCCGCCCATCCCCTGTCCCCTCCCCAATAACGCATTTTTCCGACGGTTTCATGAATAAAAAATGTTACGGTTCAGGGAGCCCTGTTTCCCACTGTAGGCAGTACACCCTTGAGCGTCCGCGCAGCCCGCTCGTGTACAATGTTAGTATCTGAGATTGTAGCCCTGTAGACTGCAGACTAGCGGTCCGCGATTTTCCAAACGATCTTTCTATCATCGAGATCGGTGCGCTACAAGCTAGATTGTTGAAGCTGCTGTGCCGTCCGATATTGAAGCGCTTCAAGCGTACAGCAACGGCGAATCAGCGCCTATGTGAATCTGAGGGGCCGCGAATTCAGCGCAGCTCTTCCCTCACATGTTCTTCTCGTCGCCACAGTCGATTTGTATGCCTGCGGTGATGCATTTGGAGGTCTGGCCAGAAGCGTACCCGCGTCCGTTACGGCGGTGGCTGTCGCGGTGAGAATGATGCTCGCCCCCTTGACTAAGACGAGACTGCCGACCACGACCTTGGCACCCGACGACTCCCACGCCATGTTAGCATTGTGGCGCTGTCGTTGCCGGTTGTGGGCCTCATGGCGTCGTTTGGGTCATGCGTATGCGTCCGCTCAAGTCCTTGGCCAAAAGAGTCGTCATCGAGGGCTTGGGTCGCGGCATCGATGTGGCTACGCGGCTCCTGACTGCAGAGTATTCGGTATGGTGACGCCCCACCAGGCAGGAACGCGTCTGGCGTGACCCGGTGGATCCAGGTGGCGAGAGGGACAAAGTATTCCCGTCCCCGGGGCCATGAATTATACTGCTGAGCCAGGGTCTCGTGAAGCCACCCCCCCAGCCTCTCGACTGCTCCCTGTGCCCGCGAGTGGTTGGTTGCGCCGTAGTTCAGGGGTACTCGCAGCCAGCGACAAAGGCGCTTCATAACGTCCGCCGTGAACTCGTCTCAGGGGCCGCATCGGATCGAGAGCGGCGGACTAATAAACATGAGGAACCCCAGCAGATTGTGACTGACACCAACTGCTTCCTTCAACGGCAGAGGGAAGACGGTGATGAATTTGGACGTTCGTCAACGACGACGATTAAGTACCGGTTATCGTTGTTCGAAGAAACCTTCATGTCGTGGTGTCCATCTCGAGGACTTCCCATGACTGGAGGAGTCGGGCAGGCGTAATGACGATCTGCTTGCTCCACACCCGCCTCCGCCGGCGGCACTTGCAGGACAGGACATAGGCGCGGGCGGCTTTCTCGATCAACGTCGCCGTGCGCGGGGTCCCCGGGAGTCCGTACGTGCCGTAAACCATTGCTAGCACCGTCAGCACGGGTCGATTGGGCACCGCAATCGCGAACGCGCAGCCCCGCGGTGCGTCCCAGAGCACATCGTTGTCTGCGAGGATATTCTCGCTGTCCTCTCCTCGCCCCGCCCCCCACTCGCTCCGCGGTGGCTGCAGCGAAGGGTGGTGCCGCTGCGGTTCACTAGTTTCACGCTGTCTCGCAGGGTGTCCTCCATCCGCGCCAGCAAGGCGGAGAGTCCACGGCGCAGCTCCGACGTGTCCAGCGGGTATGAGCAAGGTATTAGTGTACCGGAACAAGGGGGTTCGGAGCACCTCACTGAATCAATGAAGGAAAGGAGACACCAGAGCAAAGGTATCGTCACCGCGGCAGCAGCATAGAAATCACCCTGTGCAAAATATGCTGCCGTGCGGGTTGTAGAACATACCAACGATATGATTGATGCTGATTTCTTTGGGGCGTTCATTCCAAACAACCCCAGGTGGAGTCAAGAGAGCGAAGAAGCAGAAAGAAAGTAGATAACAATACCACAGATGCAGCGATGATGCCAGAACATCATCACCATCACATATTGTAGTTGAAGTGGTCTGGCGAGAGGATGGGCGTGCAGACGATATAGACACATGCACGCATCCGTGGGTGTAGGTGCTAGACTTGCTGTAGCCGGACACATGAAATGCTAGTGTGCGTGTGTGTTGTGTGTGATCTCCCTCCTCGCCCTTTGTAAGCTCGTCTTGGTAATGCTGCGTGCTCGTTGTCAAGGCTCAGTGTGGGTTAACGTTGCTAAACTTGGTACACACAGAGACCAGGCAGGGTGGCCTTTGTTGATTCTATCCTGCTGTGGGCGTGTGTTATGCGCCACTTGCAGCTCCCAGGCTCCCGGCTGATGATGTTTTGGTCTGTGAGCTGGTACTGGTTGGTTCGACTGCGTGCGATGCCCAGAAGAAAGCAGTAAAATTGCAAAACTTATGAAAAAAGACAAGACAAAAAGGCGCAAAGTTAGTTGGAGACAGCTGGTTCGCGGACGCCAATCAAACTCTGTCCTGGTGGCAATGTTTGCTTTGCGGTTGGTTTCTGTACTACGCCGCACCGGAAGGATGTGTGTCTGTCATTTCGTTGGTCAGCGGATTGGGCGAGTTGAGCCGGGTCGACGCAAATATAGACGAATGAAGACGGACAGAACTAACTACACATCACCACTCCCTCGCGCGGAATGTGCCTCCAAACACGGGAGTCACGCGGCCGTGCGTGCGTATTTGTGTAAGCACGTCGTGCTGTGTCATAGGCAGCAGGTTTGTTCTTGTCGATCCGGAAGCAAGAAGCGAGATTCGGCAGGCGACAGGATTGATCAAATGTGCCTACAATGACTATCTAGACTATGCCTATGCGTACATTTTGTCATGTTGGCGCAGGCCAAATTAGGTGGCTATTGACGCAGACTATATAGAAACCAACACCAATCGGCCGAATAGAGGCATGGTGCTATGTTTGGCTGGCACATCTGATGTGTTTTTGCTTCACCGTGCCTGTCATGCACCATCATTTTTTTTTTTCCCCCGCCAAAGTTTGGCGACGACAAAGTCGCTCTGACAGTGTCTGTCTCTCACTGTCGGTTTTGTTTTTGGCGAGAGTTTGACGGGCAACCAATGGTTGTTGTTTCATGCCTAGCAGGCACCCCCCCCCAAACAAGATCTGTCTCTCCCCCAACACCGTGGGGGCCCCAACCCCAAACCCCAAAACGGCATCGGGGACACGATTCTACAGCAGTGGTAATACCGTAGCACATCGCCACGGGGCAGTAGGTGGTGGTGTTGTGTACAGTAGTCTTATCTTGTACACACACAGCAGGCACGCACGTACTGCATGTACTCCGAATCAGAGGCTGGTTGGAGCGTTGTTTTCTGCGCGGCTGGTTTCGAAACGAGAACCAACCGCCCGTCTTGTCGTTCATTGTCCGGTAACGACAGACAGAGTGTTGCACCACGCTTCAGTACATGCCTACGTTTGTATGATGCTACTAAGTACTCCAATTAATCCAAGAAACGCGCGCAGACATCCAGGAGTGGTAAATCACCCTACAGTAATTTATCACTTCTGAAGTACACTAAAGTATACTCCAAGGATTCATTCCGTCGCACTACATGAAAATATAGTAGGTGGAGATTTTTTTTGTTTCTTCTTGTTCTTGCGTACGCTGCACACCTTTGCGTGAGACTGAATATATATGCGACAGCCTTGGGCTGCCCCCGAACGCCAGAACGTTTGACCCTCGGAACATACATGTACTCTTACACTTGAGCAATGGCCAACTAACTCTAGTATCGATTTTATCCGATCTTCACCTAAACGTATGCCATCTGCGGAAAGAATATGCCCCAAATACTTCGTATTGGTTTAATATTCATGTAGAGTATGAGACATTAAGTGAACGTTTTCTGAGGTACATCTGCAATTGTCGGAAGGCAAAAAACAAAACAAAAATAAATATGCCCCAAATACTTCACTTCCTTTGGCCCAACTTGTACCTTTGATGGTTTTAATGTAAGACCTGCGGCTTGTAGCGCTTGAAAGGTATTTTTCAAAAGAGAGATATGACCCTCCCATGTAGATGGACAACAAATAAGATCATCCATGTACACTAGAAGATCAGATTTTGGACCAAAATGTGCGAAAGTCAATGCCATCGAACGTTGAAACAGAAAAGGCGAATTGGCGATGCCAAAGGGGAGTCGTTTAAAAACCCATTTTCCGTCCCGAGCAACGAATGCAGTGTTGTCTTGTTCTGCTTCGGCAATTGGTATTTGGTGGTATGCGCTTTGTACATCGCAGACTGTGATGTATATAGCACCTGCTATTATTATACTGTGTCAATATGACTTGCCATCTCAGGCATTGGCCACGATTTACGAATTAAATTCTTATTGATCGTCGCTCTGTAATTTATACAGAATCGGGGGCTGCCGTCAGCTTTTGCTACCAACGTTACTGCTGACCCCCATGGGCTCGCTCTTTGCTCGATTATCCCAGCTACTTCCATTTCACCAACACATTTGGCCATGATCGGATGAGTGTGGTGAGGAATTCTAGACCAACGGTATCTTGAGCAGCGCACGATTACGTGCACAGCGAGGGGCAACTGACGGTGAGTTCATTGCCGCTGTACGGCACACACGCACGTATCTATTGACGAAAGNATATGACTTGCCATCTCAGGCATTGGCCACGATTTACGAATTAAATTCTTATTGATCGTCGCTCTGTAATTTATACAGAATCGGGGGCTGCCGTCAGCTTTTGCTACCAACGTTACTGCTGACCCCCATGGGCTCGCTCTTTGCTCGATTATCCCAGCTACTTCCATTTCACCAACACATTTGGCCATGATCGGATGAGTGTGGTGAGGAATTCTAGACCAACGGTATCTTGAGCAGCGCACGATTACGTGCACAGCGAGGGGCAACTGACGGTGAGTTCATTGCCGCTGTACGGCACACACGCACGTATCTATTGACGAAAGTTGGTCTGTCAGTTGCTGAAGGTGGCATGCCAGTAGTCGGGATCCCAGTAGGAACAGAACATTTCCAGAGGAACTTCGTCTCCAAATTCGCCCGTGGTGACCCGGCGGAGTTGATACTCCGTCTAGCAACGCTTGACGACCCTCAAGCCAGCTATCAACTGCTGTGTTTATCTAGTGCACCACGTTTGCTCCATCTGCTGAAAACAATGAACCGTCGATCCCTACCTCTGCCGCAAGAAAACATGGCAACATGATGATGTGGGCAATGAGTAAGATCTTCCTCGGCAAGATGGCCGACAGCATGGAAATACTGCCGGACAATGAAGGACGCGCAGACCCGACGAAGAGCGAGGAGGTAGATTCCTTCAAAGGGACAGCTCGGGCACAGGTGCACCTACCCATGCGTGAAGGAGGACCCGGAATCACGAGCAATGTCCTCATTCGAGAATCGGCTTTGTGGCAGGGCAAGTATTGGTGTTCTCCAAGTCAGTGCAAGCATCGACAGGATGCACCGTTGAGCAATGTCTGCCCCGGCATGCGCAGCTACCGACAGGATTGGCTCTGATTGACTCGCTCGAGAAGCTGGCGGAGATATCACCAAAGACAAGCTTGAAAATCTGTTGGGCAGTCATGGGCTAAACTTGCCAGAAGTGACGATTCAACCCCCGCCCTCAAAGGAGTTCACCTGTTGGAAGCAGGAAAGGCGGGAAAACCCAGTGAAGATGGAAACTCTGATGTGGAACATCAACCACCGTCTACCTCCAGCCAAAATGAATATGGGCAACACTACCAAGTCTTTGGAGCCCAAGCCCTCCTCTCGAAACCTTTTCATGCAGCAGTGCGTCATGTGGTGGAGACAGACGTGCAGAAGGTAGCAGGCGAGGAAACGTCAAAGAAGAGGGCATTGATCCGCTTGGAGGAAGCGAAAGGAAAGGGATTTTTGCCGTGGTTGACAACGCAAGGGCTGTCAGCAGATGAACGAATGCTGCCTGATCTATATCGGGAGTCACGGTCGTGTACTGGGGAGTTACGATCGAACAGACTGCGACACAGGCAAACTTTGTGGTGCAGGTGCATTGTCACCGTGCAAGGCCCGCTTGAGCCGAGCCCACTCCCTCGTCTGCACCAACACCGGCGCCTCAACCTTCCTCCATAACAGGATGGTTCGAATATTCCTCAAGACACTACGCGATTGTCATATGCCCATCGCCGTTGAGGATTCTTCCTCGATAATGACAGGCACTGGTAGGAAAAAGGACTCTACAAGATGGATTTGGCAATCCCCCCAGGATTACACGCAGGAGAAGAGGAAGAGGAACTCTGCGCCAAGTCCATTGTCCCGTCTAGGTCGATCCTCCTTACTGCTGCTTTTCAACGTATGGTGGTCTTGGCGAAGGCACCAATCGACTCATCGTCGCTATCGCCAACCACGTAGCGCACGAAGCTTTTTTCCTGGGGAGTTTTGACGACGAAAGAGCCTTGGTTCGCCTGAAAGCTTTTCACACTAACAGGATTCGGAGACGGGTTACCTTCGAGATACGTAGCTCGTTTTTTGTCGGTGCGACCTCGCGATACGTTCGAACGTCTAATTCTTTGAGGAAACAGAAAACATATTTTCACTTCGTATACATACATATAGTGCAGACAAATGTCCTTTTAACATCTCGTAGTTGCGTGGCAAACTGCCTCTACATGCTGCTGCTGCTCTCACGAGTCGGTGTGCACTTGTCGCGGTGGTTGGTGTTTTTTCTGTGTGTGGCGCGTGTGCCTTTTGATTGGCAGCATCGACCGCGCTAACCGGCTGACCGATGAAAAGACGTTTCAGTCTCAGTGCGGGTAAAAACCAAGAACACTTCAAAATTCCATTATGGGACCCCGTGAGAGGGCGGCATGGGTGAGACCAACGTATTCTCCGGATCAAAGACAGAAACGGTAGCAACAGAAGAGAACTGCACACGTCTGCGAAGGCTGCTACCTTGCCCTCGATTTCGTTTTGGAATGCGTTCACCGTCATCCTCGATTTCGTTTTGGAATGCGTTCACCGTCATCCTCCTTCCTTCCAACTCTATCGTTCTCATGGTCTTTTTCACAGCAACTTCTCGACACTTCGCCTCTAGCCCTGCCTCGTTTGTGGTGGGGGAGGTCATCTCGCTCGAAGCACTTGCTCTTTTCTGTTGTATTTTTGCTCTTGGCCTAGGATCATTTAATGTAAGTATTGGATTTTTGGGATGAGGCCTCCAGCTCCGGCCCGTGGTCCCACCCATACTTTCCTAGCCGTGTCTTGTCCTTGGCCACTGGCCTGGAACCTGGTTGATTCACCCAAACTTTCGTGTATTCCGCTACGAGGATACTTAAGCCAGCTTACGGCGAACACAGGCAGCGAAGTCGGTTTCGAACGCTGGCGATAACGGCTCCTCGTTGGTGGCCGTATAATTAGCTGCCCGCTGCCGTTTGGAAGACGGCTCTACGTAGTACTTCGCCATGGACTCCGTTTTCCAACCCCCGATCTGCATAATCTCTTCTATGGCGGAGCCCCCCATGGACCGACTCAACGACCCCCCCACTCGGAACGAGTGCATGGAAAAATGGGCGGGAAGGCTGGCCGCTCTGAGGTGCGCCTGCAGGGACGATGTCATCTGGGTCGCCACCAGCTTCGAGTTCCCCCGGCTACCATCGTCCAGGACCGACGGGAACAGGTAGCCCGATGACAAATCCCACCCTACCTGTTGTGCGGCTAGGATGTACTCCGCCACTGCTCTGACGGCACATACGTCCCGGTTCGTGCTAGCAAGCACGACAATGGCTTCGGTCGAAGCCCGCAACGTCTTTCCGAAGAGGAAGTTGAAAATGAACCCCCGCGACTCCGGCAGCCGGAGTACCTGCGACCCCAGCGTAAAGGAGAGGTCAAACCCCCTACGCATAGAATGGTGTGCAAGGGAGAAAAGGGCAACATCCCGAGTGATGGCTATGCGTTCCGCCATAGAGTCGGAAGCGAGCGCTCTCAGACGCATGTGCGGCAGCAACTCTCCGAGGGTGTCCTCCAGAAGGGGTGCTGCCTGTTTTGCGGTTACTCCTACCCGCTTCTGCTCTTCGGTGGTGAACGTGAGGTACGCGTCCACCGTCGGGCTCGCACACGGATTACCCGACCCCACGGTGGGGTTCCAGTCATCCCCTCTACCCAGCTGTTCCTTATACGCCATCTTTAGCTTAGAGTAGAAACCCTTGCGGAGAGACTCGGCGCCGTATCGCTTTTTGCACGTCGCGCCCGGGGAGCAGCTCCGGCGATCGCTCGACCCCACTCCCGCACACGTGGCATCGTGAACCAACTTCGTCCCCTTGCCCTGGGAGTCGAGATAGCTAAACCAATCGACTACATCATCTGGGGAAGCGTGAACCCACCCTTTGCCACCGCCGGAATACGACAGCAAGAAGAGGTCAAATTCATCGGCCACGCGGTGCTTTCGGACTTCTCCAGCCCGCCCGCTCATAGCCGCCTCCATCTGTGTCCGGCGAGCTAGCAGTTTTGGGCGATCAATAACCAGGGACGTCCCGGAGCCGAGGCGCGGAGCAGGGGCACCGCGGAGCGGTCGAGCACCGCACTCCCAACAAAAGATGAACTGAGGAAGATTCTCTTGGTTGCAGGAGCCGCAACGCGGAAAGTGAACCAAGTCCCGAACAGAGGCTACCCCTGTGGCCGAAGCAATCTGGTCAATCCAAACGAGATAAAACCAACAAGCGGGCGGATATCCAACTACTGAGATAAGCAAATGCAGTACCCACGGGATACTCGTTTAACGGAAATCTACCTCGTATGCCATCATCGCCCAACGCGGGTATCGCCAAGTCTTGAGGACGCCCTCCGCAGAGGGCCATACGAACACTCCGCCTTCATTGATACCAGCGACCTCAGTGGAGCGAGTTGTCGCTGAGCGTACGCGGGGGAACCAGTAGGCCTTAACGCTCGGAAGGATCACTACCGCGCGCGCGCGACATTCGGCCAGGTGCTGCACAACGTGCCCCGCCATGACTGGGGGGGGGAAACAGAAACCAAACGCTGGTACGTGACCGCCCGGTAAGACAGCCACATTCTGTGCAAAGACATCCACGCCCATAGACCCGGCACAATGGTACCGCGAAAAGAATGGAAGCGCCCGGCCGGACGACGGCGAATGCTGTGCGGATGCTGTGCAAGCCATCAAGTCTATGTTGAATGGGCCCAGCTCCTGCCACAGCTGCCGGAAAGCATCCGGCCCCAGTCGGATGATGGTCTCCCGTGATGGCCTCGAGATGGCGTCCGCCACACCGTTGTCCGCGGTAGGGACCCACTTCAAGGACAACAGAAAGTCATACTCTATTTGGAGGTCAAACAGGCGGATAAGCAACTTGTGCGCAGCGCGGTTCTTTGCCCGACCCCGGTTGAAAGCGCCTACGACGGACTGGTTGTCGACATCCACGAAGACTTGTGCCCGACGGAGACAATCCGGGTGTCGTTGGCAGAATTGGAGCAGCACGTGGTACAAAGCATACAGTTCCTTCAGGTTGATGTGCGACGACATCCACTCCGGGGGAAACATCCCTCCCGCTTCGAAAGGGTCGGTTGCGGCGTACAGGACTCCTCCCCACGCCAAAGATGACGCGTCTGATGCCCCTTTAGTGAGGGCCGCCGTGAAGTGTCGTGCCAACTGCCACGGGCCCTCGTGCGTGGTAGCCGTAATGTCCAGCCACTTACGCATTTCTCCCACCAAATCTGCGCCCGAGTCTTTTGTGAGATCCACCGACCGCAGGGTGGATCGCTCCAGAGCTGCCAATGCGGCGAACATCGCCTGGGTATACAGAGAGGCCGGGCGAATGGCCACCGTCATGCTCGTGACTTTTCCGGCCACCCGTTGAAGAGTCCGAAAGGAGATGTTGCCCGCGGCTAGGGATTCTTTCAAGATGTCGTGCACGGCGTCCAGCTTATCCTGTGGCACCCGAAATGTTGCGGTTGCGGAGTCACACAGCATGCCTAGGTATTTTTGGACCGTGGTGGGTCGCCAGTCGCACTTCTTCGGCGATAGGAAGTTCCCGCAGAAGTAAGAAACCAAGACGGAAATATGCGTGGCTTCACACGCCGCCAGCCACTGCTCCCGAGCTGGTTGGCCCTGAGTGCCTTCGAGGTTGGTAAGGAAGGAGTCGTCCAGGTATGCCAACGCCGGGATTCCCAAGGAGCGGAGAAATGCTGCTTTCGCCTCGCTGAGGGTGTGGTAGACAAAGGGGCTGATGCTCAGCCCAAAGGGGAGCACGCACCACACGTAATCGACTCCCCCGTACTCGAAGCCGAGAAGGGGCCAGGAAGACGGCCGAATAAGGATATGATGGAAAGCGCTCGAATCGTCCAGGGAGGTCATGTAACACCTTGGCGACGCCACGTTAGCTACCCGCGCTACTGTGTCCATGGAAAAAGGCATACGCTTGAAAAATTGGTTCAGCGGTCGTGCGTCATAGATCAGCCGTGGTTTTGTTTCTTCCACCGACAGAGCCATGATCAGACGAGGCCGGACTGGGCCCGCGGGGCCCTTGACATCGCTCCATTTTGCTACGCATCCGCGGGCGACGAGCGACTGCAACTCTGACTCCACAAATGGAACAAACTTGGACGGGATGCGGTTGGGGAACACTGCCTGCCGGAAACTCGCGACGTTGTACGGCTGCTGTGCTGAGGGCCCTCGGTGGGAGTCGATGAGGAAATCCTGGAAGTTGACCCCGTCCCGTAGGTATGCAAGGAGAGAATCCCGCCGCGGGTGGTCGACGAGAATGACTTCGTCCCAGAAAGCGACGTGCCTGCGGGGCAAACCCGGGACAAACAGCACGCCGGCTTCGCCGGAGTCCCAAATTGGGGCGTGCCACGGCAACCGCGGCGCGTGCCCCCGGCCGTACACCCGTAACACGTCTGCCCACTCGGGATTGTCCACGGCCGAGGATGCGGCCGCGCGAGCCCAGTCGCGCTCCTCGTGATGCCAATGCCCACATGGTATACCACCTTTCCGACGAGTACATGATGGAGAAGGAGATTTTGACTATGTCGNTTGAGATGAAAGTAGGCGAGACCCCCCAAGAATACTTCGGGAGATTTGCTGTTTTGCGCAGTAGGCTAGCCTCGCACGGTGTTACTTTCTCCGACGAAGATGCCAATGCCCACATGGTGTACCACCTTTCCGACGAGTACACGATGGAAAAGAAAATTCTGACTATGTCACCGATTCCCCCCTCGCGCGAAAAAATCGAAAAGGGTGTACGAGATGCCCATGCGGAATTGCTTCGTCGTCGGGAGGAGGAACCAAAGAATGGCGCGGGGCACGCGTTCGTCACTTCCGGTGGCATCCGGGGCGATGGACGTGTCCAAAATGGGTCGGGTGGAAACGGCGGGGGACAGGANATGTGGCAATTGCCGACGTCTTGAAGGAAGTGCTTTTCTTGAGGCAGGTTTGGCGTTTTATGTTGCCAGATGCAGGTATGCCGTGCATTCCGGTCTTCGAGGATAATCAGGGAGCGATTCAGATTGCGCACAACCCGATCACGAACTCAAACTCGAAGCACATCGATGTACGGCATCACTTTATCAGGGAACTGGTAGAGAGGAAGGAGATTTCGATTACGCATGTGACGTCGGAGTTTCAGCATGCAGATTTCTTGACGAAGGCGATCAGCAAGGAATCTTTTGCGTTGCACATAGACTTTTGGGATGAATTTGCAGTGAAATAAGTGTTTTGGGATCAAATCGTGTTTTGCCGTGGAGTGGAAGAGAGAGGATATGTACGGGTTTGAACAAGAGATGGAGAGAGTCAAATAAAGATGGTAATGTTTTGGAGAGTTGGTGTCTGGGACTTTTCTTGGTGATTTGGAAGAAGAGTTGGTGTGCGATTGATTATTTTCGGACGTATTGTTTTGGTGTTGGGATTTTGAATTTTGTTTTGGTTTTGATTGTGTTTTGGGATGAACTGGTATGAGAAGGATGACTTTGACATTTTGCCGGAGCATGACGATGCAAACGAGCAGGGGGGCTATTCGATATACTCGTAGCATAGCATGGGGGTGGTATATTGCGTATACATATGCGGGATTTGCAGTGACGAACTACGGAGGAACAAGAAATTTCTTTATGTTTTCCTTGGGAGTGTGGTAGATTGGTGGACATTCATGGAGGTTCGTTTTGGTTTGGAGGTTCGTTTTGGGTGTTTGAGCGTTATGCGTGACTTGATGCCGTGATGGAATGACGAGCTCAAGCACGCCCCCGATGAATACAACACGTTTTTTAACACGTTTTTCCACACGTCTGTACGACTTTACCTACCCCTACGGCCCGTCATGGCCGAGCTGCTCTACACTCCCATCACACATAACTGAACCACCCGAATTATCGATCAGATGCTGGGACTCTTAGAATCTCCCAAACAGCGTACACTATATCGACAGCATGGTTGAACGCTTCGATGTGCAATCAACGTCCCGTATCCCCGCTACCCCTGGTGCCGATCTAGGGCCGAAGCGAGAGGATGAGGAGGGAGGGGAGTGGCCGGTGAGGGAGGCCATCGGCAGCATGATGTGTGCGTCGACTTTCTCGCGTCCAGATGTCTCGTTCGCCGTGTGTGCGGTAGCGCGCCACGCCCACGCCCCGGCGAAGCGGCNACGTGCGGTTTCATTTCATCCGCGGATTGTTTAGGTCGGGGGATATTTCGGTCAAGTTTGTCCCGACAACGGAGCAACACGCGGACCTCTTCACCAAGGCCCTTAGCAGAGGGCCAGTCTGCAGTATCACCGGCGCAAGCTGATGAATTTGCCGGAGCAGCTGTAGTAGTAGCAGTTTCTAGCACTACTTGGGAGAGGCCATGTTTTCCATGCGGAGAAAGGCGCATTACTGTTGCGGTCTGTGTACCAATGGCAGGAGTAGGGGGCGTTGGGAGACCATCGTCCGGGGGAACGTAGTTCCTCGCGTTCTTGCCTTCGCTTTGGCCTTTCTAATAAGTGCGGCCGTTGTGATCCGCTGTGATGGCGAAGGTTTTTGTGGTGGTAGGGTTTCTTTTTTTCGAGGGGTTTTGCCCGGACACCGGGTTTCTCCTCCATATATTACCATGTTGGTATTTTCTGATGTATCCAGGGGCGTTCTTGCCCAATTGATGGTTAGTCACTTGCGTGAAGAACCAGGGAGGGTGTTCGTGGGTCTGCGAACATTGTTGTTGGATACATGTGCTGGATGATTTTGTGTCACGCAGACTGGTAAGATTATCGTTCGGTACGGGGCACCGCGATGATTCATGGGGCCCCTCCTTGCTGTGGGAGCCGCTCTTTGAGCACTCCCTCTTTCGTCCGTGTGAAGGACGGTCGTCGACCTCTCGTGAACTTATAGTACATCACCAAAACAGTTTCACCCGATAAATAAGTGGCGTAGGCCGCAAACAACATGTTCTCCGTTACCTCTTCCGTCTCGAGGTTTACCTTATCCCTCAAGACTTCTTCACCGCTAGCAGATGGAATGAATCTTTCTATACACCCACACGCAGTGTGCGGCTACAGCAGACCGCTGTTGATGATCCAGGATCTACAGGTGCTGCGGCACATTTTCTGGGGGGGGGTCGAATGGTGGAAAACTCTACCCCCCTACTTTTTCACGTCTGCGGGGTACCATGTTTCTGAGGTTTTTGTGTCCTTAAAGCGGGGAGTGTCTTTAAAAATGGTGTCTTTAAAACGGGGACGACTGTAACACATGCAGCCTGTTCTGTCGTCGACCCGGGGACGGCGTGCAGGAAGGCCGACTCGGAGACGCTCCATACTCCATCACTCCCACCCGTCCTCTTTGAACGCCCCTGGTGCCGCCCGCATTGTCGGGCTACAGCAGTAGTCTACATAGTCCGTCCAGGCCCGGCGAGTCATGAGCATCGCCTTGTCGCGGTATCATGTTCCGCATCCACCATGCGACAGGATGCTAATAACATCATAGACTAGTCTACCCCCAAGGTAAGCTATAGACTTCATCTGATGAAGAAGATAATGTCCATCGATGACTCAATAGCGCGGTGGGCTATGGGGAGTTTTGTTCAGCACGCATCACTCCTTACTACTTCGTATCACGTCGTAGGAGAGAAACAATTATTTGAGGTATCGCCTATGTAACTACTAAAGCAACGATCAGAATTGTCAGCGGGTCTTTTCGGGGAGGAATCGTTCTGCCTCCACTTTCTTATTTCCCTGTTGCTGCTCTTTGAGATACACCCTAAGCAACCTGTTTCTGTTTTTTTTATTCGCTCTGTATTCCTACCGCGCAAGAACAGGAGAACGACATGCATAAGCGGGGAACTCAAAAGTGCATCGCATACGACTCTTCATCTTACCATACATTTCGATGGATATGCCATCAATGTACATCAACGGCTGTGCCACCCCTATCGTGAACTACTTCACATGACACCCGAAAGACATGCCTGCAAGGAGTGCAGTTTGGGAGGTTCAACATGTTCAAAGTTCAGCGCACATCAACAAAACAAAAATTTGCACTGCCAATCCTTAACACGAAGGGTATGACTACTGTAACTGGAAGACATACCTCGGCGAGACCCGCACCATTTCGTCGGGTGCTCAACGTCAAACACGTAGAGTGCAAGGACACAAAACATCATGTCGCACAATCTTTAGCGCCCGCCCGCCCCAGCTAGAGGAGCCCCCGCTCTTTGAACGAAAACATATGAATGGCTCCCTGACAAGCGCAGCTTCAGTGCTTGTGGCACCCCCTTACCAGCAACACATGACTACAACTAGTGCTGTTCACACAGGGATGCTGCTACTCTCCAACCGTTTGACAAACGGTAGGCCATATCGAAGTTTGGTATCCCGCTCTACCGGCATTATATTGTACAGGTTTAGTATATCAAAAACTTGATTACATTGAAAAATCATTTCAAGTATACCACCACATCCTACACACAACAGACCCACGAACCAGGGTAGGTTTCATTGTTTCCATATCCAATCCATCCTGTACAAACGACAAGCTCGTGCAGCTTCTACCATGCCCCCCTCGGTTTGGCCTCATCGAGGTTTAGAGCAGTGCATTCCTGTGCGCAAAGCGGAAAGTGGAGGCTCGTTGGCGAGCGCGCAATACGTAGCGTGTGCAACTACCAAGGAGGTCCAACTCCATCAAGAACGTATCCATCGTAACTGTCAATCCTCTGTGGCGGCATTCGGCTTTTCACATCGACGATCGACGGCGGAAAGACCACGCATCCAAACCCCGCAATCCTCTCAATTCTTGTGCAACGCCACCGAAAAACAGTCCGGACCGTGATTCCGTGGCTGAGGCTCCCGGCGCGCTAGCCCGTGCGACGTCAAGCTTTGGTCGACTATCCCCACTCGTACTGTCGCCGAAGACAGCGCACGCGGCGGCGACGTCCCAATCCTCGGTGTCAAGCGCCTTGAAGAGATTATCGGGCGCGGCATTGGCAAAGATTTCCCGCATTTGCGAAATCCGATCGGATCTGCAGAAAAGGCGGGGGCAATGGTTCGATCGTTTAATGCAAGACACAACAGCGCAATGAAATCGACACAACAAGGTGGAGAGGGGATGCGCATCGCCTCATACGCGACTACATCGGCCCTTCGGCCAGGAATGTAGAGTTCATATTCCCGAAAAGAGCGTTTACAAGGGACAAGTCGTTCACAACACGACGCGCACATGCAGCAACACAAATCTAACTGCGCAAACCTAAACAGCAATTCAAGACTCACTTGACAAGCTCGTCGACTTCTCTCGGGAGTTGCCTCTCTTCGCTGGACGATCTTCCTGCAGCAGCAGCCCCGTTCGACGTCGCGCCTTCGGCACCACCTCGTTCGCAGTTGATACGTCCAGCACCTCTGAACAGCAACATGCGGTCTCTACGGCAACTGTCGTTCGATGGACCGCCCGCCGGCGATGGCGGTGGAGCCATCCCATCGACGGCGCTATGAGACTTGATGGGAGGAACTGCAGCGAAATGTCCGCTCTTGGGGTTCTCTACAAAACCCAACCGTTCATGTTTACGCGCAAGAGCATTGTCCGCTCGAGTCTCTCGACCGTGAATTTCACCGGTACCCGTGGCGCGTGGCGATTCAAATTGGTAGCGGGGCCTGCTCGCGCCAGCGGAACCAGAGGCAGAAACACTCCTTTCCATGGCGTCCTGTCCTTTCCCGTCAGCATCTTCGAGGCGGGAAACATAATTCGAAGCAATAGATTGCCCTTCGAAAGCTGCAAGCCGTTTACATGGATCAGCTAGCAGGAGTCCACGGCACAGTTGCGAAACCTGCGGCGATATTGTGCGACCCGTGACAAATACGGGAAGGTGGAGGATATGCCGGAGAAGTTAAACAGAATTTATGCTACGACAAATACAATTATTCAGCGGTGTGGGAGCCCAACGTGCGCCCAGGCGAAATTCCTCATTTTACCCCAAAGCACTCTTTATCTCCTGCAAAATCAATGTTCAATGAAAAGCAAAAACGGAGCACCATGTGCTTGCTGTCACAAAATGGACATCGTAGATCGCTTTCGAGCACAAGTGTTCACCATGAACAGAAAACTTGCACTCCCGGAAAGAAACGTTTGTGATTCTCATAAATCACAAACGTCCTACAATATGCCGCGGTCACGTCGCTGAGCGGTATTGATCGACCCCGCCGACCCACGCGCAGCAAAAAATGCAGCCAGATATCTCAAACTTGTACGCCAGGAGCGGCAAGCCCCCTTATACACCACATGGAGTATTTCGACACCGCGGAACCAAATTCAACATGTACCTCGAACGGGCAGCCTCCTTTGTTCTCCGGGAATATTGGCAGCGGCCAGGCTTCCTGATTTGTTAGCCCTTTGGTCTTCTCCAAGGGGTCTGCCTCAGCCAGACACAACCAAACACGCCGATGTGGCATGTGTGACATATTTGAAGAGGCCAAGTTTCAAAGCGGTCACGGTTGGCGAGACGTACGACAGGAACACACACGAATTACGGCTACGCACCCAAGGAAAGCAAAGTACCTCCAGGCGTGTTCCAACGACGTATCAAGTTTTGCGGCACACAAAATATCACGGCGGTGGTCAGTGGATTTCACCATCCTCGTCGTCAACGGGCGAGGACATGCGTGCGGTCATAGACTGAAGGGTGAGCACTACGGAAATCTCGTGTATCCTCGAGAAATATTGTTGGTGTCTCCATATGGGTAGACTAGAAACGCATGCAGGAATATACCGACAACGCAAAAGTAGGCGAGAAAAATGGAACGTATGACAATGACGTGACGGTGGCACACCTTTTACCTCCAGCCCTGTCCCGTTGTCGATGATGACCGAGTCAGGACGCAGCATCCGATACATGCATAAGCCTACGGAAAACACCTGATGGACCGTAGCAAACCATTGGCAACAGAACGTTAGGACCGAAAGAAACGAATACCGTACCGGAGTTAACCGCGGCAACATTGTGACGGGACAACCTACAGGAGCTTGAAAGGGCGCTGGTGCCGAGAAGTCGGCCGTGAAACCTGCCAAATTGCTTCCGATTTCGGAGAAGTTCGCCACCTTACCAATTCGGATAGGCAATTGCTGCATACAACGGCAATGGCTCTCCCTTATCTCGTCGTAAATCTGAAGCACCCGCTGTTCCGCTTGCATACGAAACCATGGAGCATTTCAACCCAGTGCACGTAGTGGGAAAATCGTGAACACGCGCTAGATGTCGTGCCTAGTCTCGACCCTAAGGATGGGAGCCAAACGGCAGACTTACATCACTTCGCGTGAAGTTCAGAGGCGTTTCTTCCTCCCACGCTCGCGCCAGCTCGGGAGCGAGAATGTTGGGAGCCCCTGCCACGCAGTAATTGCTGAATGGGATCACCATCTTGTCGGAGACTTCCGTCGTCGAGCACACAGTACCCGTCGCCGAACAAATGCGCACCTTGTCCCTCTCTTGATCACGGTAGCCAAGCCGGCGTCTCTTACTGTCTTGCGGGCCAGGCACACTGTCAGCGTTAGTTCCGGTATCACACGATGGCATGCTCGATACACCCAAGTGCTTCCTGTTCGCGGAACCAAAATCTCTGGACGGTACAAAATTTCCCGCTTCCATGGGCCTCTTTCTCCCCGTTACCGCGTTCGCCAACGGCTCGGCAGCACCAGCACCCGATAGATCAGTACCGTTGGAAGCGGCACTAGTTGTAGCAGCTGCAGCAGCAGCTGCAGCAGCAGCAGTAGAGCCTACTGCGCCCGAGGAACGGCAAGGGTTCGAACCACGGCCAGTGACTGCGGTTTGCTCCAGGTCGGTGGCGGAAACTGCGGCTGACGCGCCCAAGCAAGGAACCGGCACCGCGGGCGACGAAGACGACGGCTTGCTCCGAGGTTGCGGCGGATTTGAGGAGTCGAAGCAAGCGCCGAAGTCGGTGAGTACGAGGGTGCGCTGGTCGGCGCAAAGAAGCCAGTTGTCTGCAAAAATAACAGTCCCGGCGTCATCCAAAGGCACGTGTTGGGCGGCGTTCATCATGCATCGCCGGTGGGCGCTGACGGTGCAAGCACTTGGGAGGCGGCGAGGAGTCTCAACACTAGCACAGACATGCGATGGTCAACGTTGTGAAGCCAAGGCGGAGGTGCGTCCAGGAACCCACGTGCGCAGCAGAAAATTCACCGGTAGACGAGTCAACATCGCCGTTACTCACACGAATTGTTAAACATACCTCACCTGGTTTAATGTCGTTGTGCGCGACTCCATGAGCAAGGAGATGGCTAATCGCGCTGAGCATCTGCTTAAGAAATCGCATCGTTTCTAAGAGCCTCAAGAACGGCGGACCCTTGCATCGTAGACGCCTTTTGTTCAGTAAAGCCTGTTTGAACGGCACATGTTCAGAGGATGTGGATGAGATGCTACCAAGCTGGGACTCATGGGCAGCAAGGAAGCAACACCTTATGTCGCGTCTACACGGGGGATTACTTCTTCAGAATAGTTTACGAAGGAAATTTGAGTGCACTCGTGCGCGTTGACTTAACGGGTGCCATTTTTCAACCCATCGCAAGCACGACCTACGTCGGGGCATGATATGCACTCCATATCTACGCTTTCACCTGATTCAACATCTTTGCTTGCAACCTTTTCAACATCCCCAACGCTCTCATGAGTGTTGTGATTGTAAAAATCAAGCAATCACGCATATTCCACTCGGTATTGTACTGCACTTCTTGCCGATCCCCTATGCAGAATTATTGGTCGCTGCGCATGTTACAAATACCTGAAGAGACCCCGCCGTGAACAAGGGCATCACCAGGAAAGTAGTGTGAGGGCTCAGCGTCCCTCCGGCATTAGGTTCAAGTCCATCCCAGAGCCTTGGTTGAAGCTCACGCCCAATGGTATCCTAGAGAACAACATCATACGGCGGTGACCTGGTATCCATCGAGTCTGAGAGGAGGTATGGCATTGTCGACGATCCCACGACGGATACCACCATAATGTGTCGCCATTGAAGAGTCGAGGAGATCGCAAGCCGGCATACCTGAAAGCTATGAACGCCACGCATGATGTTAGGGTGCGGCGGGATACGTCCACCGACGAGCACGTCGATCTCGGTTTTCATCTCCCGCTCCGCCTGGTCGTGTTGGCGCCGGCGAGAAGGGCGTGTTGGAGGAGGTTGTTGATATTAAATTGCTGTACAAGCTTCGGCTACGTCGTTGTCGAGACGAAAGCAACACTCCGCAGGGCTAAGACTGCTGCACTGCTGCATGTCAACCCGGAAGCTGATCTGAAAAAGCAAGGGAGACTACATGAAGGCTGTGGTGAAAACATATATATTGTGGATGGGGCTCCATCTTAGCTATGGACATCGCACCTGCAATGGGTCTTTGGCAGCTAAAGTGAGCACCATCTTAAGCGCCCATTCCGTATCTGCCGGCTTATCTTCAGCCTTGTCTGGCACAGCAGATCTCTTCGCGTTGGCGGCCCCCTGCTCGACACTGCCGTAGTTCCCACTAAGGCAAGCGCCAAAGCTCCCCTTCCGTAACTGCTCGCACATACCCATGAGATCTTTTACAAGGCTCCCGCTCGGAGGCGAAGTCGAACTCGGTGTCTCGGTGCTGCGGGTACTTTTTGTGGCTGAACCCGCCGTTGCCGAAGGTAGAGAAGGTGATGCAACCGAAGATGGATGGGCATTGGCGCCGTCGGCACGACCTCTGGACGCATGATCGTGCCGCCGAGAACGCAATCTTACCCGGAAGACGCGGGAGTTAACCCCCTGGTTGGTACGTAGCATGGCACACGAGAGGCGGGTGCGGAATAAGTTTGATCGCAATGCGCACATGCTACAAGCAGGACAAGTCTGGTCAAAAAAGAAGCTGTGTTTGCCATGGATCAGATACGGAGTGAGCGAGAGCTACGCCTGATTGCTTAGTACAGAGACGCCGCAAACTAGAACAGTTGACATGGGCCACGTCAACGCTTAAAAGCCGCCACCAAGTAAGCGTGAAGGAAGGAAGCGTAGGCCAGATGCACGACTGGCCCCACGGGGCTCAGGTCCGTGTGCCCTTCCAGCAGTTGCAGGTGCGAGGTCTATTTTCGGTTTCATTTGGCGAAATCAGCGTGGACGTCTCTGACAAGTTTTTGGACGCTGTTGGACTAACGAAATTCAAGTAGACACAACAGCAGTGCAGCAGTAGTGATATCCCGGGCCCTTGCGGACTGAGGCCATGATAATTGTAGCAACTCGCTTGCATAGCATAATCGATGTGGGCACCTCGCACATGTTGGCGGGAAAATGAACCGAAAGGCGCTTTATTTCTCCGTCGGCCAGGCATTCACCAATCTTTGTAGAAGCAACACCTGTCATACAGGATTGTGTCAATTACGAACCTCGGAGTAATGTGAATACGACGAAGTACACATCGTACATCGTGCTGTTATAACAGAACGGCGTGGTCGAGGCTACTGCTGTACCGTAGGTTGCATGAGATACAACACCCGTGTGATAATTCGGGGGGACAAAAGTTATCACACGGGTGTGGTATTCTGTAGGGGATGTGATAACAACGGGGTGTGATACCGTTGCCCGTGTGATGAAGCGCACTCACAGGACCTGGCTAACAAGGGGGGTGATAACAAGAGGGTGTGACAACAAGAGCTTGTTGGTGCACAATGGTTCTCCGCAGCGCGGTGCTGCAGGGTTCTCAGCAGTATCCGCGCTCAGGGTGTTGGTGGTTGGCGGGAGATTTGCCTTTCCGGGTGCCGGTGTGGGTGCTGCGGGAGTCTCAGCAGTGCGTTCTGCTTCGCAGGTTTCAGCGGCACCCGCGGCGGCAGGCGCAGCCGGTGCTGTGGGAGTCTCAGCAGCGGTAGTTTCTGTAGGAGGGGCCTCAGCAGTACGTGCGGTGTCATGCGCGGCTGCTGAGGGAGTCGTCCCAGCAGCCCCACGCCTCCCCGGGGCGGGTTGAAAGAAGGACGCTATGGAGCGTGGGGCCGCCGCTGGAGTCTTCCCTACCGCAGTCTGAGCCCCGGGGCTTTCAGCAGGGTTGCTAACTGCACAATCCTCCACGACATTGTTGGTCTCCATGGCCATTGCGGGTAGGTTGTTGCTTGTGATCTCATGCCCTCACGCTGTCACACCGTGTGAAAAGCGGGGGCTCCGTCGATACCATGCGGCCCAACTTCAGGGGGTGTGGTATCTCATATCACCGTGTGATAAAATGACGCTTTTTTCGGGATCGAAACAAATAGCGCACAGGCCTGGTTTTGTGCACGTTTTCTGAGGGGGTGCGGTATCTAATGAAAGTGTGATATTTTATCCAACCTACGGTAGACTTACCAGTACAGGAGCCTATGCATAGTACAGTGGGGGCCCCGGTATAGCGATTCCCTGTTAAGCGACATGCCCTGTACAGCGATCCCAAAATCTCGTGACAACGCTGCACCCCGGCTTAGCGACCACATGGTTGCTGAACCGTTCCCTCAATAGCGATTTATTGGGCTGTTTTCCGCGGGCAATAGCGAACATCGGTTCAATTTTTGCGGAGACCCCGCGTTCCTCCACACACGAAGACACAACACCGCGGGACACGTACACACACGCAACATGCCGTGCGCCGATGGAGAGTTGTGCAAACAGCCGGACGTGGAACTGCGGGCAACCCAGGGGCGTGTTTGCCATGGTGGCTGCGGTGGACGCCTGCACCGGATGTGTGGGGAGGTGGAGGTTCTCGATGGCATCGAGATGCACCGCACCTGCCACGAGCGTGCATCCAAGAACATCAGGCTTCCCCACCCGTCCGGAATCCACCCGACGCAAATAGAGATATAGATTGATGGGGCGGGAGAAGTTGGCGGTGCGGGGGGTGGGGAAGTGATGGAGCCGCCGCCCAACTTGGAGCTTTCGTCGCATTTTGGGTCGCTACAAGAGTTTGCGGAGTCGTGTGGGTTTAGCGAGGCAGCGTACCATCTCCGTAGGGCAAAGATGCTGTTCATCGAAGCACACTCCGCGAAACCAGCGCGACAGACAAGACATCAGAGATATGTCTTTGTTAAACATGATCGGTACACGACAGCGCGAGGTTATCTGCCGCTTCGGCGTTCACGAACTTTCTCCGTGCCGTGTACGGGCGTTGCCATGACTGTTGCCCCTTTCCCGCCTTTTTTTTGTTATTATTCGCAGATGGGACTTCTACGTGCTATTTGAGAAGTAACCAGAAATGGGTACACCCGGATAAATTATCACCATTTCAGGGTACACTTGGAAATCAACACGACACCAATGTCCGACAGCATCCGCCGTAGATCGCGGCGAACCCAATAAACCGCTGTCTGTGTCCTGTGTCCTGTGCCCTGTGCCTCGGAAGCATGATGCACGAAGCAGGTCGTGCCCGATTATCTCTCTCTCTGTGCTTTTACTGATCAGTACCACACCGAAGTACTCGCGCGTCAAGCGAGTTCGACCCTCTGTTGAGAAGGGCCGGTATCCTATGGAGGCAGTGCCCATGAACGATGACCGAGCGAGCGTTTTTGGTGGTTTGGTTGTGGTTATGTATGTGCGGTACACGGTACGTGCGGTACACGTTTTTTTCTGCGGGTTTTATGCTAGAGCGTCGGGCGCCGGGATTGTATGACCATTTCTGGGTACAAAATTGACCTCTTCCGGGTGCACCAGTAACCAATATCGGTCACACGAGAGGGTCCTTATTCCAGCGGAACTTGTACCCGATGGAGGTTTCTTCAGAAATGGGTACAATGTTTTTTCGGCCAATCAGCTGACAGCCTGGGGGTGCAAGCGTGTTGATTTCTAACTGTACCCTGAAGTGGTGATGAAGTACCCGGGTATACCCGTTTATGGTTATTGGTCTGCTTATTTTGTGTGGTCTACATGAAGGGACAGCTTGTTCAGCATGCGGGAAAAAAAAAAGTCACAGGGCACCCACCCTGTGTACACTTGTTGTTGAGACATTTCCTACAAACTTGGGAGGGTAAAACAAGCTTGCTGGTTGATTGGAGTGCATACCGTATATGTAGGGACTACTCCCCGGTTGTCCACCCTAAGGTGCTCCTTCTTTCCTTACAGGTACCTTTATGTGACTGCTGCAATACGACGCGTGCATGACCCGGTCAAGAAAATTTCTGCAACACGACCATTAGTCCCACGAAATTGTTCTTTTCCCTGGTTTAGCGACCGCTAGTCGCTATTGAGGCACCCGGTTTAGCGACATGCCCTGAATAGCGACCATTGTTCGTCGTGACACTAGGGCGGGGCCCCCATTGTACAGGCGACCCCGCTTTAAGGACGCACATGGTTTTCTCCGAAAAAAAGCGTCCTTCCAGCGGGGTTGCGTCCTTCGAATTCAGGGGACAATAGCTCACCATCCCCGGGACCAATGGAGGCATGCTATACCTCAAACTACGCGTCTTTTGCTAAGGAAGGGGGTGGTACGAAAAGTCAGCATCGCCGAGACGACTGGCAACCGTTTGTTGACGTCGAACTATTTACAAAACTTAACATGAGATGTACAGCAGTCTGGGACGTGTTGAAAACAATACACCAGTTTGCACTTGGCCGACTAATGTACTGCATCGCCGGCAGCGGAAGAAGGAGGAAAGTCCAAGTAGACGTATGTTTATCTCATTCTTGTGAAACAAAAAAAAAAGAGCGTATTTCAGCGTCGCACCGAGGAACACCAGTACGTATCACTGTCCCGGCGGAGACCAAAAGCTACCCTGATGGCTTTTCCTTCCACATATCGCGAAAAGTTCCCTGAACCTCCCCCCGCGGCTTGGCTCGACGACTCTGTTGAGTTTCACGAGTAAACGAATGAACGGACTTCGAACGAAGGTGCTGCGTCTCACGGTACTCGCCACCCCATCTCTTCGAGTACAAATACAAATAGCGCCCGCACTTAAGACAAATTCTGTGTAGAAAAAAGGGCTTGAGAAACATAGCTCAATCTCGGCAACAACGTAAGAAACGCCCCAATAAGAAACATAACGGTGCGATACCCTCATGATATCAGAAATCTGCGTTGCTCCCAACCCCCTCCCAAGCTGAACAGAAGTGCATTTTTTTTCTAGGGGGCAGAGTCCCCCGCCCCCCCCCCGCGCGCCTCTGCTGTTCACAGTGAATGCTGTACTGTAGTACTGTCACACATCGTTGACAACCATATGCTCTCCGCTGTTGTACGGGTTTGATGGCACTCTTCACCACCTCTCATGAGGAACGAGAGGATCGGGAGGATGCGACAGTCCAAAGGAAGAAGAAATGCCATTTACGACAATGGACGACTTTGGCCGGTACTTCGACCCAAAAGAAGGGATTGAGGCTCGAACCGATCTTGACGCTTCTTCACTGTAGGATCGAACGTCCTCCAAGCGAGAAAAAACCTCGCCCTCGGTGAAGGACGAGGTTATGCACGACTTTTTTTTGGCGGCATCAGATGGACCGCCGGTGAATGGGAGGAATCTATCCATACCAACACCCAGTTGCAGCTGCAGCAGCAGACCGCTCGCTACTTCTGCTGTCTGTGCGTCGCTACTTCTGCACTCACTGTGGTGCGTGGGTCGTGCAAATAGAGGCCCGCAGGCCCGCAGGACACAAAAAGGGGGGTACGCGGCAGAAAATATAGAGACCAATAACCAGAAACGGGTATACCCGGGGCCTCTATCACCACTTTAGGGTGGCTGTCAGCTGATTGGCCGAAAAAACATTGTACCCATTTCTGAAGAAACCTCCATTGGGTACAGCTTCCTCTGGAACCCTCTCGTGTGACCGATATTGGTTACTGGTGTGTACCCGGAAGAGGTCAATTTTGAACCCAGAAATGGTCATACAATCCCGGCGCCCGACGCTCTAGCATAAAACCCGCAGAAAAAAACGTATACCGCACATACCGTGTACCGCACATACATAACCACAACCAAACCACCAAAAACGTTCGCTCGTTCATCGTTCATGGGCACCGCCTCCATAGGATACTGGTCCTTCTAAACAGAGGGTCGGACTCGCTTGACGCGCGAACACTTCGGTGTGGTACTGATCAGTAAAAGCACAGAGAGAGAGAAAAACGCGCAAGACCTGCCTCGTGCATCATGCTTCCGAGGCACAGGACACACAGGACACAGACAGCGGTATATTGGTTTCGCCGCGATCTACGGCGGATGCTGTCGGAAATTGGTGTCGTGTTGATTTCCAAGTGTAACCTGAAATGGTGATAGTCCATCCAAGTATACCCGTTTTTGGTTACTTCTCAAAATGGAGTACCCCATTATCATATTTTCTGCCGGGCTCCCTGGTGCTCGCCAAAACAAGTTTCCTTTAAGCGGGGAGTTTCCTTAACGAGAGCGTCCTTAATCCCCATACTACGCACAGAAAATTCGGCGTTCTTGCGAAATTTCTGAAATGTAAACAAAAGAGCGAACGACGCCTGCTGATTGGATGGTGCAGACAGTTCCATCCCTGGGTGCAAGTGCAAAGCTGCCTTCCCACTTGAGCCGTCTCTTGTCTATAATCCCGATCAAACGTCCCCTCGATTCGAGGGGACGTTTGATCGGGATTATACACAGCAACTGGCGGGAGCGTGGTAAACGGGGCACGAAAAGGAGGTTTTCAAGATATTTCTCTAGAGGGAAAGCGAGACCTTCTAACCCAAGCCCTAGGCCCGGTGCCTCATATCAACGGTGGGCTAGGTACTTCTTCCGCGCTTGCCCCTAGTAGCGCTTTCCACCCAAGGGTAGACAGACGCGGCGCAACTTCGCAGTTAAGCCCGCGGCGTAATCGCCCCCCGATTCGACCTGTTCATTACCCTCATACTCCTCCACTCTGCGTGTGTGTGTTTTCGTCCTTTTTATTACGGCGACAGTCCCCCCTTTTTCGTGGCGAGACGTGTACTACACTTTTTCAGCGTATGCAGAGTACTAGTCTACACTTTTCAGTGTAGTTTTTCGTACAGCTACAACCATCCAGGGTCACACCGGAGAGGGTTAAACACCAGGGCTTTTTTCTTCATTTTATTTATTTTCATGCCCCACCTTCCTCCTGCGGTGTGTCCTGTATTTTTTTATTATTATTATTATTATTTTTTTTTTGCGGGAAGGGTCCAGCCTTCCCTTTCCCTCGTCAACGGTGCTAACGTCGAAGTTTGGTACTCACGAGAGCTTTCCAGCATTGTCTCGCTTTCACCCGCAGAGTTTGGAAATATTTCACCCGGTAGGCATTCGAACTCACGACCTGTGCGACTAGCGGTTTACGAGGGTACCACTAGACCATCGGGGCGGTAAAGCATCCATATGAAACTAGAGTCGTCCCCGTGTACCCTGGCACCCCCGTGGTCGAGTGGTTCAAAGGAGGAGACAATCGTGCCATTCTTCGCGAGATAAAACAGGCGAAGAATATGGGGACAAAAAGAGTCCCCAAAAGACGATCTAGCCCTAAAGGGGTTAGAGCGGGGTCGAGTTGTATTGTAGTCCAGATGTTGCAGACTTGCGAGATGCGACGGCGTCACTCTGAGGTGCGTTGTTGTCTTTGTTGTTGTTGTATGCCAGTTGCTAAATGCCAAAATCTAGCAAAGACTCTCGGCCCGTGGTCACGAAAGTGCTGGAGCCATCTGAGGATCTAAAGAAGACGCACACGTAGCAAGAAAAAGGTGTACAAGAGCCCGAAAAGGTACTATAGGTTGTCTTTGACTGCACAACAATTGGCGACCCAACAATAGATACATTACATGTCTCAGACCTGAAAGCCCTTTCCACCGTCCCTCGTCGCTCCAAGCCGATCTCCTATGTGGAAGTCCTGGAGCTTGACGTCTCGGAAATCGGTTGCAGTTGACACTTCATGAGGCGGCGTCGTACAAGTGAGGTCGATCACCTCGTTGTCCTGCCGTTGTGCTTCGTTTGGTGTCACACCTTGGTTATAAGCAGCGAGGTCAAGCGATGGAGGTCTTCGAGCTGCACTTAGCTCCATCGAACGCGAACACTGTAGGGTGTGGATGTCTCTCCTGATGGGTGTCTCACGGCATGTGTGAGTGTGAAACTGGAAGTTGGGCTTTTTAGCAGCGAGGGAGCCAGCAGGGAGGTGAGCAGCAGTTCTGTGTGCCCGACAGATGTAAAGACTGCGGCGGCCGGAGGGGGTGAAAAGATGGTGTGCGGCGCCCCGCTTATATCAGTATATCACGTGCGTGTTGTTGCGGTGTCAGTGGGGTTGTTCACGTGTGCTTGACACTGCACCTACCAGCTCAGTGCTGGTCGACCGCGCACGTTGCTGCGTGACGCTGCGTTTCATGGCGGCTAAGACGACCACTTCCTTCGAAGGAAGAGGGAGAAAGCGCAAGCGGCAAGTATCCTGGGCCGCCGCGGAACTGCTGGAAGAGGTGAGCTTTTATGCCGCACCACACTTCGACACACCTTCCTTCCTTTAAGATTATGTTTAGTATACGGGAGGCTACACACACCAGCTAGCGTGAGTTTCTGAGGTCGCCGCACAACGCGTGCATCGCTTGTACACTCACAAAGGTAAATCGGAACTTTGAGCATCCGTTGAACTGTGATCTTCCCAGGGCGCCGGGGCGTGTCGAGTTTGGTATTCAGGAGGGGGCTTGTGTAAAAGATTGTACATTCGTATAATACGTGTAGCAGTTCGGTGTTCAATTGAACTCCGTGCAAGACACATACACACGGTTGAGTCCCCTCGTTCTCGCATCAGAGAGGGCATGTATTGCTAACAAACTCGGTGTCTTCTCCAGATTCTAGCAACCAGGACAGAAATTTACAATAGGTGTGTATGTACGTACTGGAAGGCATTTGTACATGTTCCCCACACCATTTATTTGTCCGCCGGGCTCTCTGGCTGAACGCTGATGCGCGATACTCTACGGATGTATAAAAACGCTCCGATCCTGGGTCACGCAGAAGCGTGAGACGAGAACGGTTCTGCCATCCCGTCCATCTCCGAGTATTCCCAAGATGAGCTCCTCGGGCGTGCACAATCGTCCTCGCCAAAAACAGGGCACAGGGAACAGGAACACCGGTGTATGCGAGGAGGGTTATCCCGCACACATATCTCGCGATATAAATATCTCAGGCAGGAACCGCAGGAGGGGGTGCAACCCCCCCCTCCTATGTGACCCCGGTTGGGTCGTCTATCTGGTAGAAGTGGAGGATAGGGGCCAGAGGGGCAGACGACAGCGTCCAATGATGGGAGAAAAACAAAAAATATATATATATATATATGTGTAGGTGCCTACCCCTGCGCCCGAGACGGGCCATTGCGGATATACTTTTTGTTCCCATGTTGTTCTCGTGCTTTTGTTAACCTTACACGTAGGGTAGTGCACATGAAGAAACCTACCTGGCGCCGAGCTCGTTTTATGTACTCCTAAAATTTGTCTTGTGCTGTGCAAAGCTACAGAATTTCTGGCGGACCCTTCTTCAGGTTTCCTGCCAACATCTTCTCCTTGCACACGTCGTAGCTGACATATATACCACAGCAGTTGCATGGGTATCCGTTTCTCTCTGCGCCATTGACTGGCCGTTCTTCTCTTCCTGCACGCCTCTGCAGCTAGTAAGATATGCAGTAGCACTGCCACACCGAACGGAAAGACTCCTGGGCCTAATCGTACCTCCTCCCCCCCCCCCCCCCCCCCCCCCCCCCCCCCCCCCCCCCCCCCCCCCCCCCCC